ATTGATACATTTAGAGAGCTAAGATCATAAATCACTGAAGCAAAGGCAAATGCTATAAAGAAAGACATATATATTTATATAATAAGTACTCAATGAATATTTATTGAATGATTTGAGTCTTTATAATTATAAAGGATGTGTACGTAAAAATAATTTACAATATTTCAGTATAAAACATAATCAACCAGAGTTGAAAGGAATGGGTGGAGAAATATTCCAGAAATTAGGTTAGTTTAAAAGATCAACATTCTCATGATAGATGGTCCTGAGAAGAAGATAGAAAGAAAGAGAGAGACAGAGATGGGGACAGAAAGGTGAATGTGAGGAAATTATCAAGAACTAACACAATAAAATTTATAGTACTGATGGACAGTTATTTCCAGACTTAAAGGACCTACAGATAATCCAACATAGTAAATGAAAAAAGGCCGACATTAAGGCTACATTACGGAAATTTCAGAACATGCGGTATGAAGAGAAACTTTTAAAAGCTTCCAGAATGACATAAAAATTCTCAAAAGCAACACTGGAATATAGAAGAAAATAAAACAACATCTTTCACACCCCAGTGTGAAAATTACTTTCATCCTGGGATTTTATACCCAACCAAAACGGCACATAATTTGAAGGCAGAATTGCTTTATTTTCAGGCATGCAATGTCTCAAAAATTTATCTGCAGTTCACTCTCTTTTAGAAAACTACTAGAAGACATATTACACCAAAGTGATAGATGAAACCAAGAAAAAAAAAAGATGTAGATGTCAGAAAAGTGGTTGTAATACAGATTCCTAGACAATGGTAAACAGAAGTCTTGGCATAACAGCTTGACAACAAGTCTTCCAATCTAAATGGGGCAATGAACTTAGGGGTTCCAGAAAAGATATTTCTAAGAAAAGCAATGGAAGTTAATTGAGCATATTACATTTCCACAGAACTGAAAAACCTCAAAGAATTGGTATTTATTATCATATTAATACAAAGAAAGTTATGCAAAAGAAAGCAACACAATTATTAAGACTAGGGATAGCACAATTAGTACAAGAAACAAAATGTATTTATAATGCATCATGTGACTGTTGTGACTTATGGTTACAGATTCATTGTAATATAATTATTAAATATTGTATTAAAATTATAATATTATTAAGTTACTAGAATAGAAAGAAGAGAAAATGTGTATGGAGTTGGATGTAGGACTAGAGATGAGAGAGAAATCTCCATCTTCCATACTAAAAAATCAATGAGTATCTACATTGATAAAAATAAAATCTAGAATACCAATGTAGGTTTGTTATTTAAAAATATGGAGGAGATAAATGAAGAAGCACTAAAATGATTTAAATAGTTTTCTTATAGGAATAAGAATCAAGAGAGGAGAGTGAATAGCAATAGGCTTCTGTTTTTGTCTCATTAGCTTGTTAAAACCATTTTGTTTTCTAAAACTATGCTTTTATAAATGAGAAATTTGAATGTAAAAAAATAATTGTGTGTGTTTGCATGTCGCTTTCTAAATATGTGTTATTTTAAAAGCCATTCTACTAATTTCCATTACTTAAAAACTGTATTAAATTAAAATAAATCACAAGAGAGAACTTTAATCCAATAAGGTACTTATGTGAATGGACAAAGACAAAACCAAGTCTAAAGTTGAGTTATATAAATTTGTGAAAAAATCCCTTCTGGAGATGGAGTTGTCCTTGTTTTGCTAGTCTGTTTTAACTAGTAAAACACTTCTGCTTTGGATATGCTTGTTTCATATTCTGGATTTTATTTTCCTTCCAGAAATCATGAAGCTGGATGCATAATAATTAAAATGCACAAGAACAGATGTTACTGGGTCTCTGTCAGGCACTGAGCAAATGTTTTGATGTGCCATTTTTTCCAGTAACTGGATGAATATCGTAAGAATGGTGTATTAGTATCTTAGGGCTGCCATGACAAATTACCATAAACTTGGTGGCTTAAAACAAGAGAAATTTATTACCTCACAGTTCTGAAGGCCAAAAGTACAAAATCAAGGTATATGTAGTACTGAACTCACTCTGAAGGCTCTGGGGGAGAATTCTTCCTTGCCTTTTATAGTTTCTGGTGGCTGCAAGGCCATTCCATAGCGCGTGGCTACATAACTCTAATCTCTGCCTCAGTCTTCGCATAGTCTTCCCCTCTTGTCTCTGTCTCTCCTTTGGGTGTTTCTTAAAAAGACATTTGCCATTGGATTTAGGGCCCACCCAGACAATCTTGGAGATTTCACCTTGAGGCCCTTTAACTTAATTACATTAGCAAAGACCCTTTTACTCAATAAGGTCACATTCACAGTTTTGAGGAACTAGGATGTAGACTTGTATTTTGGGAGCCACCATTCAATCCACTAAAATGGGTAGAAGAATAGAATACCAAGGGGCAAATATCACTTGTTATTCACTTCACAATGCAGATCTTGAGCACGGGTGAACGTCTAGAACTTGAGATTTCCTTTGGGGAGCCAAAGGTATGGAGATTATAGATGAAAGTAGAATGTTGAATGATAAGTTCAAAAATATAAATGCTGATAGAGCCTACATTTTGGACCAGAAGGAAAAAGGGGAGGGGCTTGCAAAAAAAATCAGAGTGGTAGCAAAGTTTAATGGAAGCCAAAGAATGAGAAAGTTTAGACATATCACTGATGCCAACTAATGCACAGAAGCATAAGATGAAGGCTGAGACTAAGCTTGGGGGGTTAATAGGCAATAATTTATAATTAGAAGCTATGAATGAAATAGACCATCTAATGGAGAGATTCATGATTCACAATTGCAAAGTTGTGGAAACAACCCAAGTGCCCATCAAAACGTGAGTGGATTAATAAAATGTGATATATGTATGCCAGGGAGTTCTACTCAGGCACAAAAAACAGTGGTGCCCTAGTACCTCTTGTGTTATCCTGGATGGAGCTGGAGCCCATTCTGCTAAGTGAAGTATCATAAGAATGGAAAAACAAGCACCACATGTACTCACCATCAAATTGTTATTAACTGATCAACACTAAGTGCACATATAATAGTAACATTCATTGGGTGTCGGACACATGGGAAGTGGGGAGGAGGGCATGGGTATACATATGCCTAATGGGTGCAGCGCATACTCTCTGGGAAATGGACATGCTTGAAGCTCTGACTGGGGGGGGGGGTGGCAAAGGCAATATATATAACCTAAACATTTGTACCCCCATAATATGCTGAAATAGATAAATAAAATATGTGATGAATACTCTGTAGCAACTTAAGTTTTGATGTAATATTTTACACAAATGATATAGGAAGATGTTTATATGAATTATTGAGTAAAAACAAAAAGAGGTTGGAAAGAAGAGAAATAGAATGTGCCAAGGAAAAATACTAAGGACTATCATTTGCTTCAAATTGTACTCAGTGAATTTCTATGTATAAATGTACTGATTCTATTTTCATTGTGTGCCAGGGAACACTTGAAAGGAAGGCAAAGAAGTGAAATAGATTTAGAATAGTCTAAACAATTTAAAGAGCACCAATTTTCAAAGAACTATAGAATTCAGAAAGAACATTGAATATCTAGTCCAAACTTACTTTATCTGCTTTGTGGCAATTGAAGTTGAGTGATTTGCTCTATGTCACATATCTGGCTATGACAGATGTAAAATTTGAGACTTCTAACATCATTCGATTAATTCTCACTATTTCTCTATCACTGGTAACCTGACAAATGCATCTGCTTTGGACATTTTAAGCATGTGTGAAAATTAATGCATCCCCGAAGCTTGAAAATATTCACCTCAATTGAAACCAAATAGTATTTTTAAAGCAGGAATTTTTGGAAATAATTTGTATGTGATATTTTTGTTGGTCACTTTTTCAATGAATGACCTTATGCAGACTGCTTAATTTTTTGAGCCTCGGCTACGTTGTTTGCAAAATGAAAAGGATTGCTATATAATCCACAGGGCTATTTTGAGGCTTAAAGGAGATAAATTTGAGACTATCCCTCAGCCTATACATAATGACTATTCAATCCATGTCAGTTTCTTTCCCTCCCTCTGCCTGTATTGCTTATGTTTTTTTTTTTTTGCCAGTTAAATTATGTTTATTATATAAAGAGTTCTATAACTTGATATGAAAAACAAAGCAACTTCAACAAGTATCACAAGGGCAAAGGACATGAACAGTTGATCAAAGATCAGTTTAGTCATACTTTACACCCATTGCTATGGGTCGGATTGTGCTCTTCCCACCTCAAAATTCATAGTCCTGACCCCCAGTATCTCACAGAAGATTTCTGTTGTTTAAACCACTCAGTTTGTGGTACTTTTTAATGGCAGCCTCAGGGAACTAATATATCTATATTTCTTGGATTGATTATTACTTATAATGGCATCTTTTAGGGATAATTCTTTAGCGATCAGTTCTTATCAATATTTGTAAGATCCTTCTTTTCCAGTTTCAAGGAAAGTAGATCCAAAATCCCTTTCACTCAAGTCTTGACATGCCTTTTCAAGAATTGAGAAGATTAAGGAGCCTCTCCAATGTACGGGATTCTGGTTCTAGTCTCCCAGTAACTTACTAAGCCTAGGCTATTCATACAAATTATGGGGTGGTAGAATAGATAGATGATAGATATAGATAGATAGATAGATAGATAGATAGATAGATAGATAGATCTCACTGTCTATATCAGATATATACAATCTATATCTAAATCTATGCTGCTTTTGAAGGATCGTAATACCACAAGCTTGTTCTTACCATTTATCAAAACCTTGCTAGAAATACCATTTTAATAAAATTGTCATGACATACTCTCTCATGCAATTCTATTTACCATAATTTGACCATCATTCATGTATTGTTAGGCAATTGATGCCTCTCCCCTTTTCGACACATCTCTTCAAATAAAGCCTTGCCCACATTTTAAAATAGTCCCCTGAGATAGTGTACCAGACAGGCAATTACTAGGCCAAAGGTTATGAACATTTTAACATTCTTCATACCTATCGCCAAATTGTTCTGCAGAAAAGCTTGTTATTCTTTCCTTTCGGGTGTAATCACAAGGTCCATTCATGGTTGCAAGATAAGGAAATAAGGTCATGGAGAGCATTGGAAGCATTAGTGTTCACCTGGCACAAGCAGATAACGAATATCACCTTACCAAAAGCTCAAAGCCATGCATGGTGTTTGCATAACAGTGGCTAACTGAAGGCCTCTCTGGTTCACAACCTTTCTGGAACCCAGCGTTTAAATGCAATATAGCCTATTAAATTGTCAGGTCAAGTACTGAGCAGAAGGCCTCTCTCTCCTCTTTGCTCTCGGGGATGTTTCTACTGACCTGGACACTTGAGTGCTTAGGTCAGAGATAATTTTCAATAAACTGTTGTCACTTGAAAATAAACAGACTGAACAGTGTATGGCCTGTGTGGAATACTGAGAAAATAAACAATCTAGGATATGCTTCATTCTTGTCTTCATAGCGCTTTTTGGAATGTGTACTCCAGCTACTTCCCTTTCTTCCCCAAAGCAGGAGGTTTTATTTAAAATAAAGCTGTTTATTTGCTTCGGGGAGGCCCTTTTTCTGAGGAACCACTGCAATGAAGGGCTTTGGAGCCCTGCTTCGGAGATACCAATTTAGCCTCCTGGTACTATTTCTTTTGCAAATTCAGAGTCTAGGTTTGGACATCGATAGTCGTTCTACCACTGAAGTCTGTGCCACACACACCATTTCACCAGGACCCAAAGGTGAGGAAAGAAACTAAAATTTTCATGTATAATAAATATGATCTCTTTCCACAGCTCTGAAGTTCACCCTAGCTTTCAATGGCTTTCTTCTCTCTCCTCCCTAGCTTCCTCCCACCTCCCTTCTATTTTGGAAACTCAAAAGGATTTTCCAAATCTAGTCTGTTACTTATTTAAAGCTTTCCCTTGATGTTAGGTAAGAGAACGTTGGGAGTGGGAGATGCAGGGTGGGAATCTGGCGGAATGCCAGGGCAGGGGGAAACTCCCTCGACCATTCTGCCCCAGGGGAGACACACAATCTAGGCATTGGTCTTCAGGAATCCTTTCTTTAAAAGCATCTATATTCTTGGGCTGTTTTTATTCCACTCCTGTCTCATGCTGAGCCTGGTAAAATTATTTAAACAAAAGATTAAAGTAAAAATTATGTATTAATTGATAATATAGAAATTATATATATAATTAAAATTGTGCATTTCGTAAATTAACGAGATCCTCGGTCCCAGTGTAGAGGATGGGAAAAATTTTTTTCAAGGATTGGAGGTAGTATATAATGAACATTGCTTTATTTAACAGTGGAATCTTTGGGGCCAAGTGCCTTTGGCTGAAGAAGGATGGAATATTCCAAAATATTTTCAAGTAGAGCCAAGGTCCGAATATGCTTTAAACAGCTAGTTGATAAAAAAGTCTGTTTTCCTTGTTTCAGTTCTCACCCTTTTGTTCTGAAAGTGGTCACTGCACTATAGATTGGTGCTATCTTATTAGTAATTCATGTTGTTTCCCCAGGCTATGGGGTGGGAGAATTGCAGCTGCTTAAAATTTTAAGTAGAAAAAGAGAGTCTTTCCCCCCAGCAAAAAAATAAAAAAATAAAAAAATCAGGAATGCATTGCCCTATGCTTGTCAGTGATTTAAATGTGTATTGCTTAAAGTGCATTTTTCTTAATCAGTGAATTAATTTTCCTCTAAGGTTGCAATCCAAGGTTTAACCTTTGATACAGTAAAATAAATGCTGGGAGGAGCAATGAGACCTTAGAGCTTCCAAATAATTTCTTGGGTGAATAAATGAATAATGTGAGGGCAAATGTTCAGAAAAGAAAGTTTCAATTAGAAATAAAGTATTTACTTAAAACCATTACTGGACTTTCCATAGAGTGTAGGAAACTTTGTAATATTCCTGGGGTGTCATGGGAGGTGCTGAAAATTAAAGCAATGGGAGAATCCATTTGAGAATAGCACTGTTAAACAATTTTCCTTGTAGAGAAACTACAACTTTAAAACTGGAAAAATGGACAGAGTGATGTTAAAATAATTTCTAAAATATAACACATTCCAACTCAACAATTTCATTTATTCCAATTCAGCCAACATACATTGAATACCCGTTAAGTGACAAGCACTATTGTAGGCACAACAGTTACATTAAATAATAAACATTAGTGTTAGAAGTAACAGAGAGATAAATGATTTAGGAGGGGAAACCAAGGGCCAAGGAGATCTTCTGAGATGGGAATTACTGAATTGAGTGTTAGGAATGATTCTTTTAGGCAGCTGAGGAAAGAGCACATTTCAGGGAGTGGGTAGAGCTTGTCAGAAAAAAGAAGAGAAAATGTGTAGAATGTGCTTGGTAAAGAATCCCATTAATTCTTGCTTTTGAGAGTTTACAAAGAATAGATAAAAATCTTAAATCCTTCCAAGAAAAAGGCAAGGAGTATACTGGTAAACATTTTTTAAACCACTTCATTTTATCACTTCAATCCATACACAATTAAGATTTGTTGAAAAACAGGTTATTACCACAAGTCTCCCTACCCTTCTTTTTTTTTTTTTTTTTTTTTCCTAATGCAGACTTCTCTCTTCCTATTAGAAACCCTAAGATTTCAAACAATGGAAACCTCTTTAACTTTCTTCCTGAGCATGTTTAGACATTATGGGCTGATTACAAGCCAGAGTGTGGCAGAATGAAGAAGTACAAGTTCCTTGGGAGAGGGACTTGGGAAGAAGTGCTCTAGAACCATGAGTTCTAGAACTCAGTCTGTTATGGACTCAGGTGCGATATCCTCTTTCCTCAGGGCCTGGAAACTATGTATCAAATGGATTCTAAGTTTTCTTCTTAGCAAAAAGATTCTATGTTTGTGGAAGGTACTGAACACCTGCTAAGTTCCAAGCATCATGTTAGATGCTAAGGGTTTGAAGCTAAGATGAGAAACCTGTCCTAGGACTTGTATCTACATATCAAGTTTGGTATTAGACGGTGCCTAGTTCACTTGTTTGTTTCTTTGCAAATTGCCTACACATGCAAATGAACATACTCTTCACTGCCTTTCCTCTGCTCTAAGCACTATGTTACATGTTGTAAATACAAGACATGGCACCATCTCTCAAGATACGAAGTGCCATCTACTTTACCTCATTCCTTCATGAACACTGTGACAGCCCCACCCCACCCCCAAATAAAGTAGATTTGTATATTTAGCTCTACAAAATGAAAAACAAGTCTAAGTAAACATTTAAAATGTCTGGGTTATTGCTTTTGTTCAATTATATTTTTTTCCTAAAATCAAGCTGGTCTGTATTTTTCTCTGTGGCTGTTCATCTCATTACCATGTTTACTAGCACTGTAGCTAGTGCTCAGAAATTTCTAGATACTCTGGGAAACACAGACAATAAAAGGACTTTGCCCTAAGTTCATTTGGGAGAATGGGAACTAAATAAATTATTTTGAATTGCAGGTGAAAAAGCAATAATGCTAACTAATCATAGAATGTATTGACCAATATGCAGACATTACTTCCCAAGCATGACTTAGTGGAAAGACAGCAGAGCCAATCTATTTATCTTCAGCATGTTATTGTGTCTATTCTGCTTCAGCTTCTTGATTTGCAAAATGTGCCTTCATCACAGACCTGTTTTAAGAATAATATGAGAGGCTGGGTGCAGTGGCTCATACCTGTAATCCTAGCTCTCTGGGAGGCGGAGGTGGGCAGATTGTTTGAGCTCAGGAGTTTGAGACCAGCCTGAGCAAGAGTGAGACCCCATCTCTACTAAAAAAATAGAAATAAATTAGCTGGACAACTAAAATATATAGAAAAAATTAGCCAAGCATGGTGGTGCATGCCTGTAATCCCAGCTATTCAGGAGGCTGAGGCAGGAGAATTGCTTGAGCCTAGGAGTTTAAGGTTGCTGTGAGCTAGGCTGACTCCATGGCACTCTAGCTCAGGCAATAGAGTGAGACTCTGTCTCAAAAAAATAAATAAATAAATAAATAATATGAGATAATGAATGTCAGCTTTAAGCTGTGTAGACATCATAGATATTTAATAAATTCTATTTTATCTTTCTCTTTTTATCTACCTAAGTCTGTTGAGTAACAATTTTGGGAATAAGTTATGGAAACTTCGTGGATGCAAGCCATCATTATTTTTCTCTTTATGTCTTAAATTTATAGTTTTATGATGCTTAAAGGTAAGAAAATTTCCTCTCTGTCTCCTCCTCCTCCCAACTCCCCTCACCAATCTTAGTTTTTCTTTAAACAATTTATGTGAAATTCTGACCTCTAGTGGTTTTACTTGAAAACAACAATGACAAAATACGTACAACTATTATGCTACCTGTAAAAATTAAAAAGAAAAATAAAGAAATGAGCACAGAGAAAGCCCGCAAAAAGAAATTTTAATAAGAAATGTTAAAAATAATTTAAAAACCAATAAGAAATACCTGGCTGATGTTTTACAATTTTCAAGAAACTTTAAAATGCATTGTCTCATTTAATTCCCATTACTTCTCTGTGTGGTAGCAATTTCTTTAAACTTAGACCCAAGAAAACAATCCCAGTGAGGCCAAGGAGAGTGCCTGAGGTCTTTCAGTAGGTGGTGACATGCAACTTGAACTTCATCCTGGGCCTTCTGGCTCCAAGTCCAGTGTCATTTCATGACATCCACTAGCTCACACTACTTATATGTCAGGTTTGAAAACACAGTCCATCAGCCACTTTTTGATGATAAAAATGCATAGGAAAATGCCTAAGAACATGACATTGTGCAATATCACAGCTTAGCATTGTGTTAGGTACTAAAATATGCTGAAACTGATAGCACATCTCCTCTTTGATAAGTAGCTCCATTAATTCATTAATTTGTTTGTAAATTAATGCTATTTCATCTTATTGCTTACTTTGGCTTTCATTAGCTTTTTGGTAGGGGCTCCTTTCTTTCAGTGACATTTTTTTTGTGTGTGGCCTACAAGGCCCTTTTCAATCTGGCCTCCCCATCTTCTCCCACACCATTTCAAGGAGCTTTTCAACTAGTAGTTTTCTCTGAAGTCGCTAGTCTTGTCTTGCCTTCCTGACTCAGGATCTTGGCTCTTT